GCGCCCGTGCGTCATGGATCTGAAAATGGGCACCCGACAATACGGCGATGATGCGAGCGACCAGAAGCGCCAGGCACAGACCAACAAATGCCGTGCATCTACCAGTGCCACCATTGGAATTAGACTTGTCGGAATGCAGCTGTACAGGTGAGCAGTCTGCCTTTTGCGTTTTACTAGATTCCCAGTTTCTTGTAAATGCATTAAATGGAACACCGATTGTTCTCGTTTGAGATTCTGCCAAGCTGTTGTTTCATTATTTCGTTTCTTTTTACCACTTATACAACTGGCAATTTCTCCATTCTTCTCTGTTTTGGGCCTTTCCCATTTAGACCCCACAACTGGCAGTTTCTCCATTCTTCTCAGTTTTGCGCCTCTCTCATTCATATAATTCCATATAGGTGTTTAAGCATATTCTTCGCATTGGCAACCTTTCTGATATTCATTTAGCATTGCATTGGTGTCATTCTGTAATCCACTTTGCCTATTTTGTTGCCTTCCATTCTCGCCATACATTATCCAGCCCAGTTCTAGCTTACGATGTTTTGTTAACATCGTTCACTTCAAATCAAACAACAGCACTTCACTGAAGATGTATTTGCTGACGCTTGCATAGAGTCGTTCCGTTAACTCTTTAGTTACCACTAACTGGTTTGGCAAATGGCGCCTGTCCTCAATCTTGAGTTAGCAGTTCGAATCCATTTGAGGAATAAAGGAATCCTTTTTTGATTTGTGGATTTGTTCCAATCGTAAAATAGTGCTGACAGATGCTGTGGACCTGCCGAACCGCCACCAGCTTTCTTCAAACAAACTTAAGTAAACAGCCTTACCAACGAGTGGTTGCTGTTGGCAAAGTGCTGTTGCTTGGATCATCCCCAAATGCCTCCATCTGTCATGGGACGTAATATACGGAGACAACTGCGCGGATTCAGTGCGGCTTTGAGATTTGTGAACACTTCTGGACCGCTCTACGAAAAGATGTAGAGATGTTGGTACCTGAAGATACTGAAGTGCGACCATTATCAAAGTTATGACGCAAAAAAAGGCCATTTAATTTATTAGTTCTATTGGTGAATTTTTTACAGGGAAGAATCGGGCAGCTATTTCTACGTTAACAAATATCTTGGCCGACAGATGAACTGTGATATGTTTCGAGAGACTCTGGCCGAGTATTTCATGAAAGCGGGCAAAGTACGAAGCAAAGCACTACTCAAAAAACTTGTCACACTAAGGAAGGTAGGCATCACAGTTTAAAAAAGCGGGGTTTTAAGTGCCACAAATGAATTTTCCAGTTGCAAAATGAAGATAACGAGGAGAGATGCTGTTGTGAAGAGCGGACTAGCACTGTTAGATGGATCTTTTTTGATGTGCTGCAGCTGTTCCTGGGCTTGGCTGTACTGTTCACCTTTGGGCTTGAGTTGTCGAGCTTTGACCAAGGTTGAGTGTTTTCAGCGATTTACCTCGAGGCCTCTCCGCCTTGAAATAAGTATTAAATTATAGTTATTTCTTCTAAACGTGCAGCTCACAGCTTTTCCAGATCCTTTGTCCACTGCTTCAATGCTTCCTGGCTAGTCTGCTGACGGTCCTAACGATTGTTTTGTTTTCTTGAAGGGGATACAGGTTCAGTAGTTTTCTTTATATAAGCGTTGAGACTTTAGCCGCACCATGACGTTCTTGGAATATGTTGAACACTTCGTCTCGAATCTTGTACTTCAAGATCACAGCAGCATACCTTATCGAAGCCTTAGTAGTTTGATTTGTGGGCTAATAGCGCAACGAAAGTAAAAACTTTCAAACCACTTATATGAGGAAAAATTTGGGTTGGTGCAGGACGCGGTGACAGTTTTTTGTTCATATTTTCAACAGTCCTCCAGCAAAACCTCTGAGGGAGTGGACGGGGGAACTGGTATTTTGCGTACAGGTGATGAAATCATATATTACCTTCAATGGAGTGCATTACAGCGACTGAGTGAAGCGGAAGGCTA